TATATGAAGATAGATAGATGATAGATACATGGATTTTATTAACATCTTCGTGTCTGGCAGTTAAAAACTGAAATGAACATGAATTACAAAATGAATTACAAAACAAATTTCCAAAGAACATTCACATAATAATATGAGATACCAATAGGTCACTTCCGCAATGCACTCAAATGCAGTCGAATGGAAATACCAACGAGCTTTCACACTCGCCCGCCGAGGTACACTGCACTCCAATAGCCAGGGCGCGGACCGCATACATCAGCCGCCGCTAGACCGGGCAAGCTATAATGCTCGTCCAGCCCAGCAACGACTAATGCGCGCAATCCGCACCCGACAACCAAAACACAGCAATCCCCGGCAGGCGAATGGGATCATTCATCTCCAGGCACTCCATAAACACTTGCATATAATCTGAATACATTAGAGAATGGTATTGCTTAAAATATTTAAAATATAAATCTGTGGGTATTGTTTTTATAGACAAAAAGTTAAAAAGTGTATAGTTCATACTAATTAGGGGATAAATACATTGTATTCTTCATTTCAATGTGCTGTATATGTATATTGTACAAATATTTCTTATTTCTTACTTCCAATAGAGAATATGAATATTAAGATGTATAAAAATACAAAATTGTATTGGAGCAAGTAACTGAATAATTGCCACGGTTTACATTCTTTACCCAGTTAACGTGTTGTATATTGCACAAATTGTAATTTCTAATGAATACAAATTAAAGCCCCTGTAAATGCACAAAGAGCTCCAAGAGAAACTTGAATATTGAGTTGTATAAAATACAAACTTATGCTAAAAAAATTGTGTCTTAATTTTGTCATAACGGGTTAAAAAATAGTGCATTGGAGTGCATTGGAGCAAAGTAACTTGGTTAATTCCAATTAACATTATTTACCCAGTTCATAGCCGATATTCGTCCAACAGATTATTACAGAAATGGGAATAACATTCTCCAGGCCAATGTATTTGAACACTGTATTGCATAATGATACAAATTATTAATAATATCATATATATATAAGTTAAAATCCAGAATACAAAGAGAACATATATACCACCTATGCTAAAACCTTTGATAAACATATCGTACGGTTCAACATTATGCATTAAAAGAAGTCAATTGCCACAGTTAATGTTCTATACTCAGTTACTCAGTTCATAGTCCATATTTATTCAGCAATCTATGAAAATATGGGACAGGACTGTTTCTAAGTCTGTTAGTTCTGCATCTGGTTCAACACACACACACTGTTTCCTGAGAGCTCTACGTTGTTCAGCTGAGTTGAACCATCCATGTATTGTGTTCGACTTAAACGCATCACGAGCAAAAGAAAGACACAGCTGATCCCGACGGTCAGACAACGTCAGCAAATTTGTCAAAGTAAGGGCATGTTGGTAGGAAATGTACCGATTGGACAGAATGATTCGTAGGGCGCATTTCTGGACTCTCTCAATATCCATTGCTTGTTGCTGGGTGATAGAACTATGCCACACTGTACATGCGTATTCCAGCACAGGTCTGATGAAGCCGGTAAACACAGTTATCATGTCATCAGGAGGGCAAGAAAATGGCTTTAACGATCGCAACAAGAAGAGGCGGCGGTTTGCACGAGAAACAATGGCCTCTAGAAATGTGGACATATAATGCTTTGTGAGTTGTTCACAGATGCCATGGTAAACCAATGCCGCTGTTTACTACGGGGGGGGGGGGGGGGGGGGGGGGGGGGGGGGGGGGGGGTTATAATTCAATACGTTTTATATATTTCCATTTTCGATAAATACAATACAATAATGAGCATTTGCAATATATAAGAAAATGAAAATAGGGAACTAAATAAAAAGGCCAAATGGCCTTGTGGAGGCATAGTTCCCTGAACAGTATTTAAGAGATTTACATATACGGTACAAACAAAGCTAAAAAAGAAACATACATGACAAAACATGACAGGAATACTCATGGCAGGTAATACAAATGGAAATAATCATTACAAAACCATAAGTTTGAAAACAGTTAGAGGTAATAATGGTAATAATAATAAAATGTAAGATTTGTAAGGCGCCAAATCCACTTGACAAATTCTCAAGGCGCAGCTTGTGCAAAAGACGAAATACATAATAAATATATACAAAAGTGCATAAGGAAAGGTATAACAGACATGAAAGATAATGGAATCAATTATAGGCTAATTAAACAGATATTTTGTAAGGTTGTAGTGTAAGGTAATGTTATATGATATAATTATTGGTACAAGAATCATTGATATTAAGATATAAGATGCTGCTTTAAGTTTCTTTAAAATAATGTTAAAGACTTGCATGAGAATATTTCAGGAGGTATAGAGTTACAAATAACAGGAAAAATGTTCCTTACAGATTTCACATACATATTTTTCTTTACTGGCCAAAAATGAAACGTCACATTTTTTAGAGAGATAGAGAGTGGGATAATGAAATTAAAGCCCAATATGTGAACAAGCCTTAAAGTGACTTGGTAACATTGTTGAAGGTTGATGCAAAAAATTGTATAATTTTTGTATAAAATGTTACTTACCATATTCCTTCTACTGTACTAACCCTCTGACATGCAAAAAATCCTGAAAAAAATTCTCAAACCATGAAGATATCTATGGTTTTCCTTGAAGGCGTCGATGTACGCCACCCTCTAACAGTGATTAACAGTAAATTCTCCCAAACATTTTTGAATTTTCCCAACCGTTTTTCCGTGAAAAAAAAGACATAAAACAGGCTATAAAAAATCTGTCAACACTAAAATGTCTGGAATGGAATGTAGAGCCATTTTATTGCTTTGTGAGATTTCCATTCACCTAAAATGTAATTAAATTGTAATATATAGTTGGGAGAATTAAGGAATCGATCAGATCAGTTTTTCCCAATTTGTACCATGAATGATGGTCCGTTTACACTCAAATTTTCAGATTATCTTTAATTGTACATCGAGCATTGAAGTCACTTCCTTAGCACCACTATCTCTCATATGAACAATGTTACAAAGTCCCTTTAAAGGTTATATAGTGTGATTATGGAATTAAAGCCCAACATGTGAACAAGCCGTAAGGGTAAATACTATACTGTGATCATGTAATTAAATTCCTACATGTGAACAAGCCGTAAGGGTAAATACTATACTGTGATCATGTAATTAAAGCCCTACATATGAACAGGCTTTAAAGGGTACACAGTGTAATTAAAGCCCAATACAGTAGCTGTTTAATAGTGATTAACCAAAGAGATACTCAAATAATTCATGTTGTGAAATGTGTATTTATTGATTATAGATTTTTATACTGAATGTTCAATCATGTAAACCTTGGATTTAATCCAACTTATCAATGAAATTTTGATAAATAAATAATATCTTTATTTTACTAATTTATATACATGTGCATGTACCTTGGTTTCATTTATGCACAGCGTGTGTGCACCATCTCTGCTACCAAGGATGGTTTCTACCATGTAATCATAGCAAGGGCATACAGTGAATTATATCACTAAAGCTTTCTTCAGGGAAAAAAAATACACATGGGCTCCGGGCGAATTTTAGCCCTCAAAATTCCAAAAAGAGCCCCTGAAACTCATAAAAGAGACCCCCAAATTTGTATAGAGTTTAATGCAGAACAAATTAAAGAGTTATTTTCATGCAAGCAAGCTTCAAAAGTAGCCCCCGAAATTTTTATATTTTTTCCCCTGGCTTTCTTAATCCTAACACTATACCCCGGCCCAGACTATACCAGGTCCCTATTCCACTCCTGGGCATAGAGGGGCAAATATATGTCTTTTGAATGCTCTAATTGTTTCACCTTCTCTACAGGGCAGAGGCAGCTGAGCGAATTCCAAAGAGGGGGGGGGGGGGGGCACCAACAAAAAAGGGCATTTTCTGGAGAGAAAAAAATCACGTACAGAACGGGAAATTTCAAAGCGAAAAAAAAAAAATAGACGTGGGTATATACCCCTACGTACATTGTGATAACTTTATCAAAGATGATTTCAATATTTGTTTCTCTTTATACATCATACAAGACATTGCCTAGGCATCATACTTTTGCAGTTGAATCGTTCGTTCGTGTCTCCTTAGATCAAGATTAATGTAATCTTGATCTTCGGAGTAGTTGCTACAACCGGCCGTGTCAGACACGTTGCCCCGGGGTGAATATGATGGTCTGAAATATCATTTGCGAGCGAGGACATTTTTAAAGACTTGTGAGGTCGCTCTGCAAAAATATACATCTATCATGATGGGGTCATGCACATTCTCATAACGGTAGACTGAAAAGACCTTTGATAAATGACATGATTATATCATCGAGCTTTGGGGGAAATCGCTCTTATAGTGGCTTGAAATTAGGGGCACGTTTAATGATGAGAGGAAAAGGAGACATTTAATCGAAAAGGATAAGACACTTATTAGAAGAGAAAAAAAGATCAAGTGAAAAAGTACAAAGGGTAATTAGAGGTGAAAATGGGGCACTTTATACACTATAGGGATTTAAAAAAGGCAGTTATGAGAATAGAAAATGGGCAAATTGTCAACGGAAAAGGGGCACCCATCACATTTTGATCGGGGCATTTATAAGAGGTGAAAAGGGGATATATCCCTTTTTAGAAAGGACTCGGGGGCACGCGTATCGTAATGATTGTTAAAAAGGATATTATCAGAGGTGAAAAGGGGCACTATCACACCTGGAAAGCCCGGAGCACTGACCAAATATGAAAAGAGGCACTTATAATAAATGAATAAAAGAAATTTTAAAAGGACTCGGTAACATTGCCTCAGATTCTTAAACAAAATCCTGGATTTAGCTCATGCTGAAATCATAACTATAAACCTTTAGGTCAATCAGGAATCCCATGACTTGTACAAGCCGATTTCCTTGCCTGATATTATCAAGATATTTATAATTGGAAATCAAAATCAAATTTTGCGTTTTCCTAACGGTTTTTATAACACAACATTGTTAAACGATGCCTTTAAAGGGCCATTTATCGGAGGTAAGGGGGCTTTTATGAAAAGGGGGAAGTGGCTCTTATTGACAAGAAAAAGAGGAATATATGTTAAATAAACGGCACTTATCAGAGATGAGGATGGGAAGGGGCACTTATAAGAAGGGAAAAGAGCTTAGGAAGGCACGTGTCAAATAAAAGGGGCAGTTATTAGAGGTGAAAAGGGACACTCATAAAGATATGAAAAGAGCACTGATCGGGGGGGGGGGGGTGGGCAGTGAAGAGGCACTTGTCAAAGTAAAACATGCACGTATATCTGTCAGAATGGGGCAATTATCAGAGGTGAAGGGGGCACTTATCAAAAGTGAAAAGGGGAACTTCTCGTAGGCCTACCTGAAAAGGGGCACTTATGAATAGAAAATGGACAATGCAAAGGAAAATGGGAACTTGTCGAAGGTAAAGGGGCACTAATTAATTCCTATGTTAAAAGCAGCACTTTGGGGTACTTTAATAAGTGGGGAGGAGCACTGTGCCCCGTGCCTCTGCCATAGACTTATGCAGCCTTCAAAGTTGAAAACACATTTTGGCCATAATAATCTATATTGTGCGGATAAGCCTTCCGATATGCCAGTTTGAGCCCTACATTCAATCTGAAACAATAAGTCCCAGACAAACAGTTTCAGCATGTGACCTATATGAGAGTAAAGAGTTAGATTTCAGCTCTAAATTTGGTGTGGCCATTATTTGATTAAATATTATCAATTTGAATGATTTGTTTAAACATCCAAATATATTCTCTTACTCTTGCCCCCGCCCCCCCCCCCCCCCCCCCCCACTCCGAGAATGAACGGACCCCATGCGTGTTACCAAAATGTCCGGTAAAGGGGTACCGTTCGTGCGACAAAGTTCGGCCCGAGAATTGTAAAAAAAAGGGGTGTATTAACTTTTCACCCTGATATTTCTTTAAAAAGGGGTGTTTTTTCTTTTTTTTCTCATCTCTTTGGACTCCTTGAGAAATTATTCTGAATTTAAGGGGGTACATTGAGCATTTTTCATGATTTAGGGGGGTCTCCAAGGCAGGAAAAGCCCGCGAAAGGGGGGGGGGTTCGGAAATGTTGGTAGTCCTCAGATAGGGGGTGCTTTCAAAAAGAGGGAACAAACATATGCGTACCCTAAATAACACTGAGTGGGGGGGGGGGGGGGCGGGCTCTTGCCGTTACCGTCAGCCGCTATGTGCAAATTTTTCTTTTCCTTTTGGATTGTACGATTTGGAGACACTATATTTCGCCTTATTGGTGGCTAGCCTCCTCCTTATTGGTCGCCAGTTTCAATGAGCGCGCTCGAGGTACATACAAATTAGTGTGTGGGACTAGGCTAGATCGAGGCATGGCACTCTAGGTACACGGGCCGGGCTAGACTTTTTACGTTACTGGAATAGTGCTCAGAAATCAGAATCCAAGTAGGGTCTAATTTATGTACTAAATGACCATAAGTAACAGAAAAGAAACAAGTCAAAGGTAAGGTAAAAAATTAGCGATTATCAATGGTCTATAACACAAATTTTGCATGGAATATACGGTAATACTAACTAGACTAGAATCTAGAGACTCTAGAGTCTAGTCTAGGCCCTAGGTTGTCACAAATTAGCGACGAACATCCAATTTGAATTTGCCAAATTCAGCGCTGCAATGACGCACAAAACGGCGTAAAATACGATGTGGTAGTCTAAATGTGCGGGGTATTCTGCAGTTAAAGGTAAAGACCAGTATTGGAAACGCCCCAGTTTCAAAAAATGAAATGATTACCAATCATGTGAAAGAATATGTTTTTAATAATAATTAATACGTCATCAGTAGGGCCTAGGGGCGCGCGTAGACCGAAAGCTTCAGACTCTCTAATCGTCGGTTGTTCCACTGAGGGTGACACGACATTTGCTCCTGCGACAATTGCTCCGGGCTTTATTTCGTCTAAGATGTAGGGTTAGGGTTAGGGTTTCAATAGGGTTTTATGTTAGGTTTAGGGTAGGGTATAGTGTTGAATCCAGGGTTGAAGTTAGCCATTCGATTAGTGTATGAAATTTACAGCGGAGCAATTGTCGCCGGAGCAAATGTCATGGAATCCCACTGAGACTACGTCTGGCTCCACTACTAGACCTCCGATTATAGAATGACAACAAATGTCAGTTTTATTAAAGAAATGACCCAAATCAGATGGTTATTGCTGTCTAGGGCGCGTGCTGCTCCGAGAATGAGGATCATCCTCATAAATGCAGACAAAATGCGTCCTCTAGTCTAAAATAGATCTAGGGTAGTAGGGATCGTCTGCATTTTCTAGGACGTTTTTTTTTCATCGGCGCTCTGCGGGTTTCGGGTTACCGAACCGCCCACTGGCGATGCGAAAAATGGATTCCCTTTGGAAATATAACCCTAGACTAGCTCACCGTCTACTCTTATGGGTTGTCCGTCTTCCCAAGGATTTATTGCTCATAATGTGAAAGTCTCTGTACAAAGTCAATGTAAAATACTTCAAGAAAATCATTGGGAAATCCTTTTTTGCATCGCCAATGCGCCGATCAAAAATATGAAACGTCTGCGAAGATGCAGACGATCCTCATTTTTGAGGATGCATTGGTCTGCGTTTATGAAGACGATCCTCGTTTAAGAAGACGATCCTTATTTGTTGGACCAGCGCCCCTACTGACGATGATAAAAATTTTGCCGGGAAACCACCTACTAGACCTAGATCTAGGTCTAATTGATATATTTCGTAAATTAGTTTATCTATTGGTGTGTGAGAGATTAGAACGCACGTGTCGCGCACATGTGTGTAGTCCCATATACATCTTTCTGTGAACAGTGCTTGTAACTTTATGAAGACTGGGCCAAATTTCTTATCATTTTGATGATTCCAGAACCTTGCAGTACATCTAGATCTATGCTAGATGATCAACCTTTTCTGATCGATTTCACATTTTCTGTTTCTTTACGGGAATGGCTAAAATGCATGACTCCCATTTCGACCAATTAGATGGCTGGATTTCTTAAGTTAGGTATATAATATGCAATAGTGTGTGCATTTGTGTGTTATACCTGCCTCTCAGCAAGTATGCAATGCTAGAGGTCAATACGCATTAGCATTGACTCTATGCTTTGCTGGAGTTTGGTAATCTGCAACATTAATCATAATAAATTATTAAATGCAACCGTTTTAATTACATGTAATATATCTCTATAGCATTCAAGCCGGCAATTTTTGTACGTTGCGTCTTGTGAAAATGAAGGAGCCGGAGCTTCCCGGAAGTGGTGGTGGTGGAGCCTGTGGAGTAGGAGAGCCGGAGCCCCAGTGGAAGCGCTACAGTGATTCAAGAAGAAGGGCGAATGCTGCGTATGAAGAAAGAAAAAAATGTGTCGATGTTGGTAGAACTAGGAGGAGTAGAGATCTACGTGGATCTAGGAAGAGAGTGGTGTTGAGCGACGAGACATTCCAACGATGGAATATAGTCAAATTGAAGGAGTTTGTGGAATCAACCAATGACGAATTTGCGTCCTCTCTACTGGACAGGTGAGTAAAAAAAGGAAAACAAAATCCAGATAGGCCAACTTGTCTAGCTATGACTATGACCATGTATAGTAGGTCCACATTTTAACTAAATAATGACCTAGACCTACACCAATTTTTAGCTGAGATCCTTCTTTTTACTCTTATCCTTGCAATACAGAAAATAATGTACACTCTGTACACTCCACAATATACCTATAATCACGGATCTGTTACGGTCTTTCACCATTTATTGACGATCTTGCAGATTTTGATTGATTTTAATCCAATAATCGTCGTAGCAGAAGAACATGACACCCAGAGGGCGCGGTGGGTTGGTCACTAAAATCCTTCCATTGGCAATAGGTAGACCCTAAAAATATGGGATCTAACTTCAGTCAAAGAACTTTTGATAGCGATTAACATGCCAGATGTTCAACAATGCCACTTTCAACATCTAGAAAATATATAAACAAAAGAGATGATATCTTTTTAAATACAGGTTTTTACGAAATGAAACTGCACTTTTCATATAAGAGTTGGGGGAAACCCCGGTGTAGTGCTCCACCTGCACCCCCAATCAGGCTGAGTATATATGGCATCTGCAAGAATCTTCAGTTATAATAATAATGATAATATCAGATATACATATCCACCTTGTAAGGTACTCAAGGTGCTCCGAATATTACCCGGCTACGCTAGGCTGCCGATTTTGGCGCTCACAGCATTTAAGGAATTCCTTCCTACCGGTACCCATTTAACACCTGGGTGGAGAGTGGCATATGTAGATTAATGTCTTGCCAAAGGACATTAGTACCGCGGTGGGACTCAAACTGCGGACTCTGTGATCCACAGTCCGACGACTTATCCACTTGACCACAACAACTCTACGTATTGAAGGAGGCAGATTATCTTGAAGAAGAAGAAGAATATCTATAGAAGACGATGTTCATGTCAATCTTGCATAGCCATCTCAAAAAGGAGAGGGAAAACTGTGAAAGGTGACTGGATCAATAAGGAAACTCAGTTCACACCGTTCAAGATTGCCACTTGAAACTGGATAAACTTTATTGTATTCAAATCTGTAGAAAAGATATGAATCAAAAGACTCATAAATATATGTAGGGTGTCTGAACGAGTTATGAAATACTGTGTCTTGTGTTTTTTTAAAAATCAAATTGTTACCTTTTTAGTAAATTTATTGTTTTGTTTCTTCTCTTCACACATAGATATGAAGAACATTCTGAAAACTGTTCCACTTTCAGCGTTGGAAATACAGAAGACAGGTAAGATTTTCTTTTATTGTTGGACTGTAAGATATTATGAAAAATTAGCATCATGTTATGTGTATTTTGTTGAAGTATCGCATACAAGTAGATTTTCTTTGAGAATCTCCGGGGGGGGGGGGGGGGGGGGGGGGGGATTTGGTGAAGTTCTTATACTTAAAAAAAGGGGGATTTTGTTTCATTTTGTCTGACATGAAATGTTTATTGTCACCATAGTTCAATGAGATACCACCTTTAAAGCATTAATCTTTAATATAGTTTAAATGTTCCCCTCAATTTATTTGTATAATATCTTTATATTTCAATACCGTTATATCTACCATTCACACAGTTATGATGTATTGATTGAATAACTAGAATTTAAATTCAATTCAAATTTGATTAAAAAAATATTTCAATAGATTCACACAAAGGTGAAGTCAACACCGATACACGACATGTACTTCAGAAGTATTTGAATAATATTTCACTCTTTTTAATTTTTCTTCTAGTGACTCAGAATCAGATGCACCATCTCTTCCATTCTCAGTAGGTTCTATCGATGCTACCCGGTAAGTTTGCCTTTGCTAGTTTCAAATGCTCAAAAAGACATCTCAAAAATGTTAAGACTAACAATTTTGTTCTTCTCAAGGGGAATACCAAACAAATGAGAGGTTAAAAATTGTTGTAATTGCTCCAAGATTCCCACATACGACTGGTATGTGGAAAAAAGACAAACGCTATTATATATTATTATATCAAATCTTATTCAACAAATTTGATTCAAATTTTGCATTTTTACTATCAGAACTAAAAATAACAATATTTTAAAGATAATTCTTAATCTACATATAACTTTTTCATGTCACATTATTTTGATTTTGTTTCAATTTCGTATTTTATTAAGTTTCAATTAATTATTTCATGAAAATAGATCTTCCAGTCACAACACAGAGGATTCTGTTGCAAGTGAAACAGCCACGTTTCAGTAACTTCTTATTTCATTGTATACTTTACTTTTGATTAGATACGCATTTGTATATTGTGTTCATCAACACAGACCTATGACCATTCCGCTTTCTGTTTATCGCTATATATCTCAAGAACTGCTTGAGGTACCGGTATGAATTTTCTGTGTATCGTCATGACTCCGTTTTCTCTTTGCCTACTACTAACAGTATGAGTGACTCAGCGAAGAAAAGAAAGAGGAAAGCGAGGGATCTACGGTACCAGGCAAAGCATAACCCAAAGAATATGTGTGTGTTCAACGATGATTTGGAGGAAATTCGAACCATCGGGAAGGAGAAACATTTGACGGACAAAAAAGTAATCAGCCTGCTGCTCGCAACGTAAGTCAATTCGTTCTTCATACTCGTACTGTACTTGGCATCCATGTCATGGCGTTTGCCACACATACTTGTAGCTGCATTACTATCCTGGCTGTGTACCGTAAGTCTCCGCGTTTAAGATGCATTTTTTTTCCGCTGGAAAAATTTGAAAGGTGCGTCTTTTAGACAGGTACAGGATATTTTGAGTCCTCAAAATGGTACTTTTTAGTGGTTTTTCGACCATCTCTGTGTCTCAACATAGTTAACATAATGCAAATAAAGAATAGGATCTACTACTGGTAAAATTTGAAAGGTGCGTCTTATAGACAGGTACAGGATATTTTTAGTCCTCAAAATACTACTTTTTAGGCCGACGCTGACCCGTACCTGGTAGAGCACCGGCATGGTCCCAGCTCACTCACACATGGGATGTCAACTCACCAATCAGAAACTTAAACCAAGCTAGCCTATATCTGAATTTCTGTTTGGACTCGGAGGAAAATTTGTCTGCCATCTTTAGTTTTAAAAAACGACATTATTACTTTCATTTGTAACAAGTTCACAAGCACAAATCGGTGCCTTCAATATCGCTTCGTCTTGTAGCAAAATGAAGGTTTTCTAACGTACATGTACTACTGTGTCTGCAGAAAAGCAATTTTTTCCCTCTTTTTTTTGTCTTAAAAATAGGGGTTCACCTTATACACAGAGATTTACGGTATCAAAAACTGTTATTTTGATTCTCAATATTTTAAACACCACTGTACAAAACTCAACTGAGTTCACTCGAAATCGGTACCTTAGTGACACAGTCTAGGGAATATGTACATAGCGGAATCACTTACCGTATATGTTTCATACGAGCCATCAGGTTCAAGTTCAAGTTCCAGTTCAAGTTTATTTATTTCTCTTTATCAAAGATAACATTATTGAACATAATGAACAATGGTAATTAAATAAACATACAATATAGAAAACATAATGTACATGATAATAGTTATAACAGAGAATACAATCATATAAATCAATCAATAAAGTGCGGGATCTACTAAAAAGCAAAGCTTGTATTATGTAGGTCCCGGTTCATAGGTTTATATATAAATTAAGGTATCTAAATTAACATATTTACAAAAGCATATGATTACACGAGGGTTATCTCTAAGTGACACATTTTACTAAAAACATATCGTAAACAATTGAAAAAAAGGGAAAAGTTCTGTGCTTTCCTCAGCATAAACAAATATATATATATATATACATTAAATAAAATGATCAGTGCTTATTTTATTTTTATCTTCTTGTCTCCTTTCTATTACTTTGATTTTCGAAGAAATATCACTGCTCTCGACAATATTGTAGAGAGCTTTTGCAACAAAGTTAATGAGTATAAGTATTTCCTACGGGATTCTAGCAAGACCCAATTAAGGAGTCTTAGACGCTCGGGATAGGGCATCTGCTGCCTGTGCTGTTTCAGGATGATACGAGTGGCTTTTCTTTGAATACTCTCAAGTTTGTCACAAGATTGGATAGATTTTGCACACAACACTATCGGACATGTGCGCTTTCCCAGTGTGCACATGCACAACGGAGGTATGTTGATGCATAAAAGGGAAGAAAAAAAAACACAAAAACGTGGTGACCGTGTACACATGTAACCGGCCATGTATTGGGACGTGTACAGGACTACCAAAATACACGCTTATGCACAGCCCTACCCGCGGCTACAGCAAATAATCAACTTTTGCTTATTGCTTCCTGACAGTTTTCCTTCACGATGCAATCACTCTATCAGATCTCTGCTCTATCTTAAACTGAAAATGTTTTCTTCTTTTTTTCTTTTCCAGATTCCTGCACACGAAGAAGAGTGTGTGTGTAGATCAAGCAACTCAAACTATGCCTGATGTATACAGCTGTAGCCATTGTGGTAGCTCTCCACCTGCCAAACCCATGCCACCTTTAGCAAGGCCACAACCTAGTGGCCCACAGCAGATTAGACTTGTGGATCGCGCTAGTAATCCACTTTCCAATGGTCCTAAGACTCCTAACATCAAAGTCATCATGGTTAAAAAGTCTACAGCAGGAGTTCTGAAACGAGACTCTCTCATGACTCCACAGGCTCTGAATAATCTAATGCAGATTGGTTCAAACGTGCAGGCAGCACACCCTCTGCAGAGAAACCTTACAGGATCTTCTCAGTCTACAGCAGGAGTTCTGAAACGAGACTCTCTCATGACTCCACAGGCTCTGAATAATCTAATGCAGATTGGTTCAAACGTGCAGGCAGCACACCCTCTGCAGAGAAACCTTACAGGATCTTCTCAGCTCCCAGCAAGATATATCATACAAGATATTCCTGGATCAACTCAAGTGGTGAAGATGGAACCTGTTGAATCCATGGAAGACTTTGAGCAGGTGCCTAATCAAGAGTTCAGTCAGGCCAAGTGCATTGATGAAAAAGATAATACAGAGGATTACATCTATGATGATGGTAGTACGACATTGGACGATGGGAAAGAACTCGATCCTGACAAAAAGCTGTCAAAAGCGACAGATCATCCGGTCGGCGTCGTCGTGAAAGAAGAAGTTTTGTCAGACTTGGAGCAATCAAACTTGGTGCATTCAGATATGGAAGAGTCATTCTTTGATCCAAGGCAGGACCAAGAATTTGGATCTGATAGCAAGCTTGTGTATTCTGAACCAGGATGGTATGGGCGGGAGGAAGAGGACATGGTTGAAGAGGAAGGAGAGGATGAAATTGAAGATGATGAGGAAGATGATGAGGAAATAGACTATGAAGCTCAAGAGCTTTTTGACCCTACTCATGATCTTTCAGCCAGTATGCCCCTACATTCGGTAAGTATAAATATAATGTGAAGAAAAAAAACATGTCTTCCAACATTAAGTGAAGGTTTGCTTCTGTTTACTTACTGGCAAGCCTGTCCTTGATTTTACAGTGATAATAATTAATGTATTTGTGGTCTTGAGAAGGAGGGATAGCGGATGTTAATTTTGAGGACAATTTTTTTCTCTTTGACTTCATCTATGCAAAATGACTCAGCAGATTGACTAAATTATTGAACAGAGATATTACTCCTTCAGACATTAATCTACATTTGCCACACTTGACCCAGGTGGGGGAAAGGGGAACCTTGTAGGATTATTCCTTGAAATGCACTGTGCGCTGATAACGGCTGCTGGAGCTAAAGCTAAGTTAATAATTATTTGATTTGTGTAAAGTGCACTGATATGTCTTAGGACAGGAATTGCGCAATGTAAGTGTTACATATTATTATAATTATTATTATTATAAGTCCTGATGGTTTACTTTTAAGACCATCAGGTCATGCATTTTTTTGATCCCCTATTTCCTGACACATCACATTCAAATGAATGAATGTGTAATCTCTTGTTTTCATTTATTCACAACAGACAATGAACAGCAAGGATATACCAGGATCTAGCAAGTCTTCCAAGTAAGTATTCCTATTTAAAAAAAACATTAATGGGTAAACTCAATGGTATTTTCCCCCTTATTTTACCAACCTCATGTAACATGGTAGTGTATCTTATCATTTGCATACGGTGAAGGAAAATCTCATGTTGATATCAAATTGCTCTGAAAATAAAGCAGCAACATTAAAGGTAATACAAAGTTTTGGGAAATTTTGAAAATTGGATGGAGAGTGAATCTTTACAATTTTGATATATTTGGATGCCCCTGTGGATGTATTATAAGCACTAAAAAAATTAGCCCCTAAAACACTTCTGTTTTTGAGAAAAATTGAATATAAAAATTTACCGGTGCTCCCGGTAAATTTTGATAAATTTCAAATAGCGCCTATGGCCGTACAATGGTAGCTGCGACCATGAAAATCTTATATATATTTAGTTGTAATATATAATTTCCAAACGGGAATAGCTAATCGGTCGATTTTAGTCAAGAAACATTGTTTCAAAGCTAAATTAACATCTTGACCTTGAGAGGGAGCTATACAATATAAAGAGTTTATTATTTATAATTTCATAACTTCAGACTCGATTTCAACCGCGACAACGATCAATGAATATTGTAGGAACGCATATATATGCTTCTAACATTTTAATTTGAACCGAATTCATGACCCCATACCAAAACTTTGTATTACCTTTAAGAGAAGCGGATTGATGAAAGTTTGAATGAAAAAAGATAAATCGAGGGGTCAGTGACACAACGACCTAACTCCCTTTTTTGCCATTTTGAGAAAAAGTGGCTTATGTGTCAATGAGCACTTGGGCCTTAAGGAGTTAAGTCTATGTTTCACTAGACATTAATGGGGTGTGGGGTGGAGTTTAGTCTTTGTGTTTCCTGGAAAGCCCATATTTTTCTGAACATTTTGATATCAAATACTCATTTTAACAAAATATGGGGTTACGTCTTTGTGTCACTGAACCCTCGAAATGATAAGAAAGTTATGACTCTGAAAGTTGAAATTACTATACACATGTGACGGAATATCCAATGGCCAATGTCACTGTGATGTAGTGACAGACCTCGTATACGGACACCTACTCTCTGGACATCAACCCCCGGATAACCACCTCCAGTCAACTACTCCCTAGGACAACTACCCCCTAGGACGTCTACCTCCAGACAACTACCCCTTTAGATAGTTGTCCGGGGGGGGGGGGGGTAGTTGTTCTAGAGGATGGTTGTCGTAGGGGTTAGATATTTATCTGTGAATGAAATAAACAGATAAAAGGCATTTTTTTGTATGGAACAAATTGCACAGAAGCACCCTTCAACCGTAGAGGGGTCTATAGGTCCTCGGCTATGACCTAAGGCCTAGGACAAGGCCAAGGAGTAAGGTCTAGACCCTAGTTGATTTTGATGGAGGGGGGGGGGGGGTAGTGTTTAATAAGGAAATGATAATGGCTGTATTTTTGTTAACCACTTCATTCTGTTTAATCAGGCAATGGATATGTTACTTAATGATATGATAACCATTGAAAAGATATGTCAAAAGCCTGTCATAATCGTGCAAGGCTATTTCCCCAAAACATTGCAAAACCGACACGGACTGCAATGTACGTACGTTTGTGCTTCCCTTTTATATAGATCTAGTCTTAATTCTAATAATACTTAAAAAAACTCATCATGAATTCCAATTTCGAATCATCAGGAACAAGTTTCAATTCGTACTCGGAATCGGTGCTTTTAGTTATTGTTTGCGATTGTCAAAATAATTAATCCAAGAAGGCCAAATACGAAAGTAGCAACTGCGCATGCTCACACTGCGTGATATCTAGAGTGAACCCAAAACAGCTGTCATAAATCATCTGGCTTCGAAGCTTGATCAGATGACTCTCGCTAGCTAGTTCTCCAGTGCTGGTATCTCTTTGCTTCTACACTTTACATCTATTAAAATATTTGTACATGTGCATCACTCGAGGCTGCGATAACCTCTAAATATTTGTTTATGTTTCTTTTCCATTTGCTGTACCGGTAGGTGTCTTGGTGGCCGGGACAGCCTTGAGAGTGATGACAGCTTGGAATATGGAGGAGATAGCGATGAAGACTTTGACTTTCAGTTCCCGGAGGCATGCCCAATCTGCTCTGAGGCCTGGGAAGAGAAACCTGAAATTATGCACCATTTACAAAAACACATCCCGATTGATGAGGGCCCAGAAGCAATCAAGGATGCCGTCCAATCAATCAAAAGCAAATTTGAAAGGGGGCACAAATTTGACATGGGATGGTGTTGGGAGTGCAAAGAACTGCTCTTGGGCTTTAGAACACACTATAACAGATGCCATAACAATAATCCTACTTGTATTGTAATGTGTAACTGTAAGCAGTGCGGTAAAATGATCAGAAGTTCGTATATAAAAATACATGAGATCTCACACTTAGATATCAAGGAAAGCGATTACGTCCAATGTCCACAGTGCCCCTCAAGGTTTAAGCACCGGATATTCCTCAAGGGTCACATTAAAAAGTTCCACTTCAAGAAAGCGTTAAGGGATTTGCAGTGCTCAACCTGTGGCAAGATCTTCAAAAGTTGGCAACAACTCCAGCGACATTCATTGATCCACAGTGGACTGAAGCCTTATTCATGCTCAATGTGTGACAGATCGTTCATTCAGAAGAACAGTCTGAAGATACACATGCGGCAGCATACAGGAGATAAGCCGTACGTGTGTGAGGTGTGTGAGAAGGCGTTCACCCATAAGATCAGCCTAAAGAACCACAAGAAGAAACAGCATGGGATTGACTGGTGGAAAGAGCAAAGGAAGATCAAGAGAGAAATAAAAGCGATGGCTCTGAATAGAGAAAACAAATGATCTGATTGGTTGATATATGCCTAGAAAAATGCCAGACAAACAATACTCCGAAAAGATGCACCTCGGCTTTAATTACCCCCCAAAAAAGTGCTATTAATGTTGGTCGACAATATATATACATGTAAATCTATGTGAAATAACTGTGAGAGCAGGGTAGCACGCTATCTCTTTCATAAGCTATCTGTATTGAATTTGAAATGCTAAGGTTTGTGTGGATTGGCCGCCTGTTATAATTAGAACATCGGGGGAATGTAGTTATAGTTGAGAGCTTCATTTGCTTGGGATGTCTGTTCTGATGCCTCCGCCACACAAAGTGAGTACCGAAGGCATGTTTTTGGGTTGTTGGCCCGTATTTATTCTTGTGAATGCAATAACTTAGGAATGAATGGAGGTAATCATAGTTAAACTAGACCTGTGAGAGTCGTATATGACCATGTACATTTCACCTGATTAAATTTTGGGGCCAAGAGGTCAAAGGTCACGGGTCAATTTAAATGTGCTAAAATATCTTGTGAACACAATAATTTGAGAACGATTTGTGCTATCATTGTTAAACTTTTTGAGAGTATGTATGACCATTTAAAGATTACCCAATTACATTTTGGGGTCAAGAATTCCAACGATAGAAAATTTAAAGAATAATAAACTTCTTCAAATATTAAAGCAAAAGGCCAGTAGTTTTCAAATGAAAAGTGAATAGATTTATGTTATTTTCTTTGAGGTTTGATAACTAACCCTCCAGAAAGCATATGAAAATGAAACAAAGCTAATCACTTCTTATTAAATTGGTTAGATCTAAGATATGAAGAGGGTTATTATCTAAGAACTTCTACTCAGGAATAAAACTTCCTCAAAATTATGGAGGGTCTGCAAATGACAGCTACTACCTTTAATCCGATAATTAAAGATGCCTATTATGTTCCTGGCGGGGCATATTTTTGACTGAGCAGTCTATTTTTCTAGTTTTTTAATATTTTTCTTATCCTTGTAAGAGTTAGGGTGAGGTTTGAGGGAAAACTGATTGAAATCTTGATGTGGTACTCTATTCAGTTACATGTATGCTTGGTAAGCTGAATCCTTAAAAAATCCTTAATAACAATGTAGTTTTTATACATTGATTATATTGATCATGCTACTACCAATGAAATGAGAATAATTATGAAAATACATACCTTTATTTGCTTTTAAAGGTAAAGACCGGTTTTAGAAATGCCCCCTCTCAAAAAATGAAATGGAAGCTCTTTATTACCAATCATGTGAAAGAATATGTTTTGAGTAATACGTGATGATACAAGTGTTGCCGGGTAACCGCCTATTGAACTATTTGGTAAATTATTATATCTATTTGGACCGGATAGATATCGCGCACGTGCCGCATATTCCAATAAACATCTTTTTGTGTACAGTGCTTGTAACTTTACCAAGACTGGGCCAAATTTCTTATCATTTTGATGATTCCAGAACTTTGAAATACACACCAATACTTATATATGCTAGATGATCAACCTTTCTGATCGATTCCACAACATTTCTTTCACAATGCAATCGCATGACCAGAACTGATCTTTACCTTTAAGCGTGAGGGGTTCCATGACGCCATAGCGTCTTGAAAAAGTATGAGCTTGGAATATTTCATCTATAAAGCTTTAGCAGTTAAGTACACTCTCAGTAAACATAAAATTGTTGAGTAGACTCATCCATGCATGGCTCAGACGACCCCGGATCAAAACTGAATCATGTCTTTAAGATGGCAAGGTTAAAGGTCAATGCTCGTAGGGAACCCAAGTCGGGCTTGTACAGGATTATGTTATCCTTTAATTTTTATTCTGCTTTAATACCGCTATATAGAATGCAAGGTGACTTCTTGAGTTTGTTGACATTCAAAACATGTGCAATTATCTTTCCACCTACACTTTTAACAGTTTTCTGATTAGTTTTAGTTTCAGTTTTGTCTTTGGTATGACAGATTATACATGTACAGTAGTTATAAATTAAAGTTATACATGGAGGACCTCAAATTACAATTCATTTGCAATTCTTGCCATAAGAATAGGACAACTTTGCACTAAGGCCGATTCATTTAGTTTTTTCCTCCAAAACTGTTAAAACGTTAAAAAATAATCGCCAAAATTTGAGTTAATTGGTCTAGCAGCGCATTCACTTGGTTGGCTCTCTGTCTTCCCCTTCAAACTGGCTCAGGCGACCCCGGTTCAAAACTGAATCATGTCTTTATGATGGTAACGTTTAAGGGTCGGTCCCCAGATGTAAATAATCACATCTGATTGATGCATATCTGTAAAAGCCCAATTACACACATGCTTATCAACAATTTAAAGTTCAAAGTTCATAAGTTGCACAATCAACCCTCACTTACGAGGTTTTTGCCAAGTACATGTACATTCCCCCTTAAAGTGACTCAGTAACATACATTGCCTGAAATTTTGACTAAAAATCCTGGATTGAGCTCATGCTGCAATCATGATTACGTATAAATTATAAACCCTTTGGTCATTGCAGTCAGGAATCCCCTGACTTTTACAAGTCGATCGCCTGTCTGATTATCAAGATATTTATGATTGGAAATTGAAATTTCATTTTTTGTTTTCCTAACAGTTTTTATAACACTACAGACAGTCTATTGGGGAAAATGAGTATGATAAAACCGGTCACTCAAAGATTTTTTTCCTTTTTTTTAAGGAACTCTTCAAGGGCAATTTGTTTAGGGCTTCAATATTACACCATATCAGAGCCAGTGACATGTAGGGCCATGCATCTCAGATTTAACATTGCTAAATAATGCCTTTAATACTTTGTGCGACATACCTTGGTGGACTGACTTTTACCTCCTTTTTCTTCCTTTTTCTTTTCAGTTTTCGGTTAAACGTTTGGAAATATCGTAGATAGTTTGGGTTTTAACGGTCATTAACGGTTGGGTTTTACGTTTTGACTCAGTCTAACTTTGGACTAAGTAATGATGCTTTAATGAGCTTTTGTGAGACTGTCAATGTAATACCGAAACCGAAATAACTCAAAGTTTCTGTTTAAATTACAACCTTAGAATTTCGTTTGATTTTTACACAAGTGTAGTTTTGTATTGATGAGTACCGGTAGTATAAATTACTGTATATTTGCATTCCATCAATTACATATGTAAATTGTTGTACCGGTATTGTTTCTTGTCCAAATCGACGGAAATAAATTTGTTTTAATATTATGAATTTGAGTGAGGTAAACCAATTTAACATGTACATGTAGCATGATAACAGCTTTTGTTTCTTGAAAAACGTGATCACACCCACAAAATCGCCGAAGTCACATGTTGTGATTTAAGGGGTACATGACTGTATTTGGTCAGAGTTGTGAATTTGTAGTTGCGTGTATTACCCGAAAGAGTATACTTCTATTAAATTCAAACATTTTAGAACCACCAAAGCTTTAGGATCTGCTAATCTCTTTTAAGAAATTTCTTTAGAATTCTACTTTAATTCTTGTTTTGTCACTTTGCACAAAAATTAAGCAAGTCAGACTCGGCATGACGAAGCAGACACTTTTTTTCTTCTTTTTTTTGGAGTCCAAAAAAAATGCAACGACTCAGCAGTCGCTGAACGAGCGGGGGGCGGGGGGGGGGTTAGTGGCATAATTTTTTTTTTTTTTTTAATTAAAAAAAAAAAAAAAAAAAAAAAATCAAAAGGGGGGGGGGGGGGGGGGTTTCACACAAAACATACACAAAACATACACATAAAAAAAACTTAAGGGGGGGGGTTAAACCCCCCCCCTTCCTGCGTACGCGCCTGCCACAACTGAATTATAATGTTTTATAGTGGTGGGATATGTTCATATAACGAGAGCTTTTCGTATACTCCTAACTTTAAAGGGAAGGTTGAGTTCTGGGAAAAGGTGAAAATAATTTGTGAGCGTTATCATTCTTATTATGCAAGTGTGGAAGAACATCAGATAACTATAAGACATGTTCCCTGAAAAGAATGGCTCTTTAAATGCTTTTATATTCTAAATATGTCATGTAACTCGTAAAATCCTGGGGGTAGGTTTTCTACGCCAGTGGCGGATCCAGGGGGGGGCCGGGGGGCCGGCCCCCCCCCCCCCCCCCCCCCTTGAGAAAAAAAATCATGTAAAATCACGTGATTTTGACCTTTTTTGGGGGTTGGGGCCCCCCCCCCCCTCTGGCGCTCAAGGGGGGGGGGGTTGAAATTTTTTGAGGAATGTGTGCTACCCCCCCCCACTGAGCGAATTTTTGGCCGGCGCGTTTTTCAAATTTTCGGAAGCAAAAAAAAAAAAAAAAAAAATTGTGCTCTGTACCCCACCCCCCACCCCCCCCCCCCCACCCCCCCCCCCCCCCCCCCCCCACTGAGCGACTTTTCGTCCGGCGCGATTTTCAAATTTTCGGGAGCAAAAAAAAAAAAAAGTTGGGCCCCCTCCCCTTAAGAAATCCTGGATCCGCGCCTGTTCTACGCCACGTGTTCGTGTAGTCCCATATGCATCTTTCTGTGTACAGTGTTTGTAACTTTACCAAGACTTGGCCAAATTTCTTATCATTTTGATGATTCCAGAACCTTGCAATACACACAAATTCTTATATGAACCTTTTCTGGTCGATTTCACACCGTTTCTTTCACAATGCAATCGCATGACCAGAACTCAACTTCATCTTTAAATTCACTTACGGTATCTTCAACATAACCTTATTTTAGACCTCACATTTCTTCTCTATTTTTGTTGTGTGTCAGGAATTTATATATCTATATATGTACATCATAAATGTATGTAGTATTTCAGAAATGGCGTTTTTTGAGATAAAATAGTTATAATCCGCGATAAACATTTTTTTCATCGATAAACAGTGGCAATCTGAATTATCGGACAATTGGCGCGCCATATACTCTGCTACTACGTTACTCGACTAGACTGCCTGACGCTGGTTAATGGTTAGGACTAGTTCGATCGCTAGATAATACTACAGCTAAGCCTCTAGCTGTACAATTCTGCCATGAACCTTCTTCGAATAACCAAACATCTTGAAGAATGAATGGAGGGTCGCAAAATATAAAGTGCAGAGCTA